ACACTGAAGTTTTGTCTTTATTGTTCTTATTGACATGAGTTTAGTCACGACTATGACGTATTCGTTCGAAAGAGAAACATTTGGAAGTTGATGGATTTAAAAATACTGAAACTTTGTTGAATAACCAAATGAAATTGAGTACTTTTCCTCTATTCAATGTGTTTTCTTATGGGGAAATTGATAGTGAATTGGTAAAATTTTTTTCAATATTTGGATTTTCAATTAGTTTATACCCAAACTCAGGTAGAATCATCAGTCAAGTAGGTAGGAGGTCATATGATTTGAATTGTTATACCCGAACAACAATATAAAAAATAATATCAAATATTATATGCTTGATGAAATGAAAGTTTTGGGAGCGGATCAATATGCATTTCGTGCTGTACGCTCGGAGGAGCAGAAGAAAAGCGATATTAATAATATACCTTACCCGAGACAATCAGGTATCATGACATTTGCATTAAAACATTAGAAAAACTACTGGTCATGCATAATAGACTTATTCCAGGTCACTGCCTCAAGACCGATATGTGTACTGGTCAGATATATCAACGGAAACAACTTTGTTTCCAATAACAGGAAAAATAAAATATGTTTTCGAAAAGATGTATTCTCAGCTGCATCTTTGGATATTGAGGAAGACTGTTATAGAGTACTGGGATGCATATGACTAGGTCATTCTACTCTGGGCCAAATATTATAATATGGTATGGAGATATATGCATTGTAAAAAGAGGGGCTCAACATTAGTCCACCTTAATTGATCACAGTAACACTCACCAAGAGGACCAAGATAGAGGAACTGGAACCTCTGTAGCTAATTAGGTGAAATTTAGTCAGCATGGGCATGCCTGAGGACACTCAACAGTTTTCACTGTTGAAAACTGCAACTGGTGTTGCGTCCAGTGAAAACTGTTCAGTGTAATCTAAGAGTGGAGTGTTGCTTGAATAAGTTATAGATTTTCATCAAGTATAGGCTAGTTTCATCACAGATATTGATCATGACAACAACAATTTTCCATTTAACTAGTTCGGACTTCCATTGTCTACTATATAAAATGATTTGAAATCCCTGAAATAACTAAAAAAGAATAATTGAAAATGAGTAGCTGAAAATAACAATAATATTAACCAAAATAAACCTGAAATGAAATAATAGTGAAATAAAATACAAGTAAAAATAGAATAAAAATAAAGAAATGAAAAAAGAAAGAAAATAAAAATAAAAAAGTGGAGAGATTTCAGGTCACGTTAGTTCACGACGTTTCGATTGTTAGTATCTACAATCGTCTTCGGGTGATAACTGGACTGATTCCTCCGAGAGATGACTATTTATAGGTCGTTCGAGTACTTTCACTTATCCCCGCTTTCCATTTTTCGCTTCACTGGTTCCGTGGGAGATGACCGTTTTGGCGGGAGTTGGCCATTTTTCCGCTTGATGATGGGTTTCCATGTGTTGCGTATTTCTACGCTGGCTTGGCTGAATACGTTGTTGGACAACATGTATGCGGCTTCCTTGAATTTTCTCCTAGACCAATGTTCCTCTCTGTGCAAGATCTCAGCTTAGGACCACTCGATGTTGTGTTGATGGGTCCAAACATGGTCTGCTATTCCTGATTTGCTGGTTTCTCCTCGCTGTGTGTGTTTCTTGTGCTCGGCAATGCGAAGATTCAATGGCCTTTTAGTTTCACCAATATAGGATTTTCCGCACTCACAGGGTATCCGGTAAATGCAATTCTTGGAATCGCAGTCCGCGTTTGCTGATAATTTAGTCATTGTCATTGCAAAGAAAATTAGAGAGAGTAAAGTGCTCTGCAGTTTCTGGTGGAACTTTCTCAATGAACCTATTTTTTGAAGTACGGAAAATCACTGACTAGCAGCGCTAGTAGTTCGGTAGGGACAAACACTGCTTAATCCTCATATGAACATATGGTAAAGTACAATTAAAAAAGCATGTTTTCAACAGAAGAAGATGTTCCTGGAGCGAAACTGAAATTTGCAAGTGTAAAGGATAACAATGTTGTAACATTAAAACGTTGGCATACATACTGGAAAAAAAGTGAATTAATAGACAGGTTAGTATACAGACTCTAGTAAAAGAGTAGCGGTAGATTCAAACTGCAATAACAGAAATTCAAAATAATCACGAATTTCAGATTTATTTTAGAGTGAAATATGAATCAAACATAGATGGTAATGAAATAAATTTGATTAAATATAATAAATGAATATAATTTAATAAACGATTGAGGTTATATCTCATTCTAATCAATGGTAGTTAACTATGAAAAATTTACTATTCATTTCATGTTGGCATTATACTAGCAGAAAATGACTTTTTATATCAGATTTTAATTTTTAAATGAGAAATTAATATTACGTAAATAACACTGTTTCACATGTAAATAGTTTATTGTTCGTCCCTACTGCTAGTGCTGCCTCTCGTAACACGTCTGCTGTACTATTATCAGGAAAAAGGTTTATTAGACTAGCATTTCAGGTACATATTCAGAAAGTACCCATGATCGCCACCACTGCTCAGACTCAACTTATGAAAAATAAATTGAATATCGGAAATATCACTTTCTCGCTGCCTGTGATAGATGTGACAAATAGTGCAAACAGTGCAAGATGGTTCATATGTAATGAATATAATTAGAAATTTTTAATGGAGAGATACCCGTTTTCTCCTGTGAAGAAATCAAATAACTTTCATTCGAGTAAAAATTTGAAAGATCTTCATATTTTGAGGAATAGGTATCCTGAAACCCTTAGAGGCGCTTACATAAAGGCCAAAAAGAAACATGTTATATTGTTGGGAGACTCAAAAAACATTTTATCAGAACCGAATCACAGATTCTCCTAATCCTAGTAGAACAGCGTGGAAAGTAATATCCGAACTTTCAAATAGGAAGAGATACGCAAACAATATTCAAATAATGAAAGAGGACACTTCACAAGATAACACAGGTCAATTTTATTCAATAAATTTTTCATTGACTCTCCTTCAGAAATTATTTGCAAAATAAAAGTAGATGATGAACTAATCCATCGTCCCATAAATACGAATCCGCATTCCATTTTCTCAGAGCCTTTTATACCAGAGAAATCACTTTCTTTGCTTAGCAACAAAATTAAAAACAAATACTCATCTGGCCCAGATGAAGTTCCGTTATTTTTCATCAAGAAACCTCTTTCCTTCATTATAATGCCACTCACCTTCCTTGTCAATCTCTGTCATTTCCAGAAATATTGAAAGTCGGCAAAATTGTCCCAACTTTTAAAAAGCAGGATCCAAAAAAACTGGAAAACTATTGGACAATTACAATGAGTCCGGGTTTTTCCAAGATTTTTCAGTACTCCTATTTAGATAGGTTACTGAAATTCCTAAAAAAACATCGAATATTCTCAGATAAACAACATGTTTTTTGCACAAACAAATCCACAAACACTGCAATAATTTTATTTATCGAAACAGTTTCAATGCTTCTGGAATCAGGAGAATCCCCTGTTGGCAAATTCTGTGACCTCAGCAGGGCTTTCAACTGTGTCCATCAATATTAACTCATGTCAAAGCTTTATTCGTATGGTATACGAGGTGTTGCCTATGACTGGACGTTTCTGAAGAATAGACAGGTGTTTATCTTAGATATCATAGTGAGTCTACCACTACTACCTTTTATTCTGAGCGCTTGGACGTCACGATGGGTGTACCACAAGGATCTGTGCTAGGTCCAATATTATTCCTTCTTTATATGAATGAAATCGATAACTTCATCACAGATTCATTCATAACAATGTATGGTGATAACAAATCCTTGGTGGTGTCCACTAATGTGGATCATCTTCTGTTTGAGAAGTGTGAAAGTACTCTGAAGTCAGTTGTGAATTGATGCGGAAACAATTCATCATACCTCATTGCTGAAAAAACTCAGTTGGTGAGATTCCACAATCATCAAAGACAGTGCGAAAAATTGAAAATTCAAATAAATGATCAAACACTGAACAGTTCAGATGATACAGCATTTCTGGGGATAACCATGGATACATGTCGGACTTGGAAAAAATACTGCAATCTCGTGATGAACAAATTGAATTAGCTGTTTTACCTTTTCAGATACCTCAGAAGCATGTTGACATAACAACAATTATTATCATTATATCACGCGCAAGTTGCGTCAAGGTTGCGATATGGCATATGTATATGGAGTAAATCTACAATAGCTTCAGATGTGTAAAATTTAAAATTTTAACCCTATCCTGTATGTACATTTTTTAACTGTCAATCTATGTTTTTGAAAACAAGAATAGATTTCCTTCAAATGGAAATATTCATAATCTGAATACTAGACAAAAACGTGATCTCCATGTTCCGTTTCGTCAATATAAACAAAATTAATTTGTCCATCAGTGGTAGGTCTTACTATTTTCAATAAACTCCCTAGGTGTCTAAAAGATATAACAAACCTCAATAAATTCAGTAACTTGTTGAAGAATTGTTTGACTGAGAATTTTTCTATAATTTGCAAGAATTCCATACGATTCGTAATATATAAGTGTATCTGTGCTGTATTTTATTTTAATTTTGTTGTTTCAATAACAATGGTGTTGCTCACAATGTGAATTTTGTGTCATGGTTTTTTGTGTACTTTGACGATTCCAATATATGTTATCTGTGTCTAATGGAAAATAAATATCATTATTATTATTACCAGAACTTACATGATCGTAACTTTCCATGAAAATTTCATAGCAGTGCCCATCTATCACGCATTTTCACATTACTCTTCAAGTCTGAAGCGTAATAATCGTTCTTGAGATATGACGAAACTGTTCATGGGAGTTATCAGGTCTGCTTACTGATTTATTAAAAAAAAAATCGATTAATCAACTTCCAGTACTTGAATTAAAATAGGCAAAAAATTGGGTGAACTCCCAGTAATTGAAATTTCCTTTCAACATATGCCGTTATCAACTCGATTAAAGTGAATCAATTTCTTTTTCAGGTGAGTGCAGAAATGCAGAGGATCTCGTAAGTGAAAAAGTTTAAATGTATATTTCGCTACTATGTAAATCCCGTTACATGGAAATGAGATTTGAGCCGAGTCCATGGAACTGGAAAACATACTTACTATTTGTTTCTTTTTTCCACAGTATAGATTTACCCGGTCTAAGCTTTCGTAAAATAATAACCACCATAAAATTCAAAGTAAACAAAATTTATTACAGCTATATTTTTCAACGGTTAGCATTCATTTAAATAACCGCAGAAGTTCATTGGTATAATCTTATCCTGATTTATCTTTACCTTTTTCCTAATGACCCTTTTCTATGCCATTACAACAGAGCGAAGTAGAGAAAGCAATCAAAATAAAACTTTAATGAAACGTCTTATCTTTCACTGAGTTTATACGAGAAAATGTCACTATAAAACTTCTCCCGGGGGGATATGCAGTTGAAGGAGCACATGTGTCTGCACTTCATCGCATGCATAGATGGAAAGTATCACCGTTGAATGGAATATATTTTCAAGTCGGTGAACAAAAAAATACATTTCAGCTATTGCAACATGACGGTTGGATCATATTTTTTATAAAATGATAACCAATATACTATTTTACTGGTGGGTTTATCAATGAAATTAGAGGAGTTATCGTGATTTCAAGGACTGGTGTCACTACATTTTGACGTAGGTACTCTTGCTGATTTCTCATTATAGTAAGATTATAGTAGTATTGCGAGGGTGGAAATGAATATTACTGGAGTGTTCTCCCAACACCAAATCGTTATTTTCAACACCTCGACACGTGTTTCGATCAACAAGTGATCATCTTCAAGAGGAAGATAAAACTGGAAACTGAAGCTATTTATGCTATACAGATATATCATACAGGTAAACCATACAGGTATACCACCCATACAGGTAGGTCATAGATGACATGATGAGGAAGAAGAAGTTTAGGTTAAGAATGAACGAAATCTCGACTTTCAGAAAGGACAAAAACCAAGATAAATACATCTCAGTTCCATACCACCGATATACATCCTCTCAAAGATGATCACTTGGTGATCGAAACACGTGTCGAATTGTTAAAAATAACTGTTTGGTGTTGGGAAAAAACTCCAGTAATATTCATTACTAAAAAGGTTCCAAACAGTACATAATAAGGGTGGAAATGACAATTTCTTCAGTTTGCGGAGGCAAGGGCGCGGTTAATTTTTGATTTTCAATTGAAATTATTGAGAAGGGGTCTAAAAATTCACTGGTCTCATTTAGCCGCCATCTACAGTGGATCATATAAATATTGTATTCTCTTCGCAATACCCGTTACCCGTTCACTGATATGTTTGTAGAACATACTGTGAGTCATTGAATTCCATGACGGTTGAGAATTCAGGGCAACGGGGTACTCAGCTTTTGTTAGAATCCGTAATTATCTCAAGAAGATAAAAAGATGTATTCGTTTCAAATTAGATGATTACTCTGTTGAAATTTTGCAATTCCATACATGCTGATCTGCCAATGAACTTTTCATACTGAATCTCAAATTTTCCATTTCCAAAACGAAGACAATTCAGAAATTGCCAAGATATGATTTCTACTTCTATGAAATTTGAAGGGAATTGAAAATATTCAAGAACTTCTTCATTGAGAGGATTGAGTTAAAAATATCTTCATCGATATTCAATTGAAAATAGTATTTTGAAAATAATCTTCATTCAACGATGCTCAATGAATTTCAAATAGCCTCAGTCCATTTATATATCAGACCTGATAATGAATAAATAATAAAAATGGAGTTATGATGTGAAATCAATGTCAACTTGATGAGCTATTTTTGAAATGAATGAGATATATTAAAATTCCATTCACTATTATTAACGGCTCGAACATCTGGATATTTTTCATGAATATATTATCACCTCTTGAAGAATTGATTCCATTCAGAAAAATGGGCGTAATTAAACAATGAATGAAATGATTTTCACTGATTGAGTTATTTACATCTTTAATGTTTTTGAAGCGTTAATTACGGTTTCACTATATCCAGTTTAATAATCTCACTCTCTATCCGGACAAAAATATCCTTTTTTCCAGAACTATTCCAGATGATAATAATGAAATTTAATTGGATAGAACATATTCATGAGAAAGAAATACTGGTTGTACCTTGTATATACTTAAGAAACGTTACAGATTTAGTTACATTTCTTGAAATGAAACCTCATTATAAGTATTCTCAACAGTTTAAAGTTGTGTTTTCCTTAATTAAAATCACGAGATCTTGTGCCCAAGAAGTTTCTCAGAAAGTTTATTTTAAGAGTTTTTCATCTCGCTGAAGTTATACTCAACCTACTTTCCAAACAAATATATCTTTAGGCCTGACTCCATATTGCATATTAATAACCATGGCGAATTCAGAAACGCTGTGGGCTCACACTGTCTGTTCGATTAGGTTATAGATTATGTTTGTATTCCACTTAATCACCGTCGATCCTAAAATCAACTAGAAACTGAGTTTGGGTTAGGTCTCAAGGATAAAAAGATGAACCATGTCAGCACTCGTAAATAAAAGCTAGTGAATTTCGTTGTTCATCTGTTGGCAGTTACTCACCAAAGTTTCAGCCAGTTTGGAAGCGCAGTTGTTATGTGACAGTCGTTTGAGTGAGTTGATGTTAGTGTTTTCATGAAAATGGATAATATCGAGTATCGAGCTGTCATTAAATATATATTTTTGAAAGGTAATACGCCTACGCAAATCAAAAATGAGTTGGATTCTGTGTATAGGGACTCTGCACCATGATTTACACAGTGAAATTTTGGGTAGCTGAACTTGAACGCGGTCGTTAGAGCTTGGGAGATGATGGAGGTTCGAAACGTCCAAAAACATCACCTACCGATGAAAACATGTAACTTGGATACACCATTATATGCCTGAAACGAAAATACAGTCCAAACAGTGGACTGCAAAGGGGAAACCGACTGAAGGCAGAACTTGCAGAAAAATGGCCACATTTGCAGAGAAAGGAGATCCTGTTCCACCAAGACAACGCACAATCTCACACCCCAGCGGTTGCCATGACGAAAATCCACGAGTTACGGTTTGAACTGCTTAACCATTCGCTTTCCTCAACAGATCTAGCCTCAAGCGACTACTTTTCGTTTCCTCGTCCGGAAATTTCACTCGAAGGACAGAGATTTTCGTCAAATGAAGGGGCAATCACCCACGTGGACAATAATTCTGCAAAGAAAAACACCGTTTTGGACGGATTAAGGAGATGGTAGTATCGCTCAGAGAAGTGTATGGACTATGTTGGAAAATAAAAATAAAACTGAAAAAATGTCTTGCTTCTTTGTTGGGTCGAAAATTTTCCAGACAGCGCTCGTACATCTCGCATTTCAAACTGAAACAACGTTAATTTTCTGTCCAACTGAACCAGCCACATTTGTTTGTCTACTCTCACTTTTAATTCTTCTAATGTCATTTGCATCGTTCACAAACCCTTCGTTAAGGTGAATATCACACAACGTGTTTATTTATTTTCGTAGCGGGTAAAATAACATGATTATGCAGTCTCAATATTGTTCCTTACAGACTTGTTCCATACAGGATAATACTGCACTCTACAAGAATATGCTTTCAGAGCTTGAGATTCAAATGCACCTTAAAGTACCAATTGTAATTGATGAACAACAATCTGTTCTTATCAAATTTTTGAATCATTTCTTATTTCTCGAATTATTTACTATTGATTTTTTTGCAACACAAATCTCAATTTATGAATAAAAATGTTCATGAATGAATATACGACATAACATTAAAATCAACAGGTCAAAAATAACATTTCAAACCGCTAAAACAAACATCATCTCAGGTATCCCAAAGTTGCGAACTCGTTTCCTCCTCCTGAATATAGATTATAACGACAGAGAGTCACATTGTTTGCTGCATAATTGCTCGTATCTAATCCACCTACAGAAAATTCGATGACAAAATTCAACTTGTCTCTATATTCCGTTGAAGAGTATCCTTTGAAATTAATTTCTAAAATAGGGGAAAATTATGGATTAGTACAGATTTCGTGCATTTTCCTCTTTCCTTGCAACTCCAACAAGTCGGTTTTTCATGTCAATCCAAAGGCTGTTCTCTCGTGAAAGAATCTAGGCATTGTAACGAACTCAATTGGTCAGTTCTTTGTGGTATGGGGAGTGACAAGTCCCAGAGAGGATCGAAAGTTACTGATGAGTGTCCACAGTGTGTGCACTTCATCGTGGATTTCAATTGACCAACGAAATTATCTACAATCTTAGAGTTATATATACTCAAATACCTGATTCATGACTCTCGTGTTTTTCCGCTGTCGCTCAATTTTTTGTCAATCTCCATTAAGATTGGTTTGGGTTTAATTCTTTAAACGTCATCATGTAAACCTTCTGAAAAAGTTGCTGTTGCTGTATTTCTCGATATTGAAGGAGCATTTGACAATATAATACCTGAATTCATAGGAATATCCCTGGCTGGAAAAGGCATATAATCGAACATTACTGGCTGGATCTATGCCATGATGGCAAACACAACTGCAACTACGACTTTTCAAGACGGGGCTATTAGGTTCAGGATCACCTGGGGTTGCCCTCGAAGTGGAGTATTATCTCTCTTTCTGTGGTCGCTCCTGATGGATAGTCTACTAGATGCCCTCGAGAGAAGAGATGTAGATCTGCAAACTTATGCAGATGAACTTGTCATCTTGGCAAGGTTCAAGAAGGAGCAGATGTTTGTCAACTCTAGGAAAACTGCGGTGGTACCCTTCACCAGGAGAATTTTATTGGACGATTCCACGCCACTGGTCCCCAATGATGAGGTCATTCCATTTGGAACGGAGGTTAAATATCTTGGCATTGTCCTTGATGAAAAACTCACCTGGAACGCTCACTGGTGAACAGTCTGGTGTTGTACACAACACCAGACTGTCCCTATGGACATCAAGAGATTTGTGGTGGAAATTCAGGTTTAGGTACCAAACAAATTC